GCAAATAGCTTAATCCATTCAGTGTGGTGTCTGTGGGTCCAAGAGTCCACTGGGGGGCTTCAGGGATGCCTGGGGACCCCTGAACTTTGACATGTGGTGTGTGAGGAGGTCTGTGCCTCTGACAGAGGCACATGGGCCTCCCAGACCCTGTCCCCTAGGCCTCACTTCCTGCACAGGCACGCTGGTGGGGCTAGGATGCGGGGACACTGGGACGCTCTGAGGCGCCGGCACAGAGCCCTGCTGCCGCTCACACTGAGATGCCCGCAGTCACACGCTACAGGACAGGAGCTGCTGGCTGGACCAACTCCATCTTAACGTGTCGTCAGTTCATTTCACAGACATGGAAATAGTTCTAGTTTCTCCCACTGTAAAGGGGCCTGGAGAAGGACAGAGCACACAACGGGGTGGGGGGGGTGTCACCCCTACCCCGAAGAACGCCACATCACCTCACAGGGAGAAAGGAAGAGGGAGAGCAACCGAGTGCGTAGCCTGGCAAGAGGCCCAAATTGAGGCAAAAGGGCCCAGCAGAGACAAGGAAGCATCTGGTGGCACATCAGTCAACCCCTGGGACCTCGCCTGAGGAGTTAAGTGATCACAGAACCGAGTCAGTCCAGGAGGCAGGATCCACACTGTCTGAGAGCATTCCTTTCAGAGCCTGGCTCCACTGACCTTCCAAGGCCCCTAGTTGAGGACAACCTCCCTTTCAGGCCCTGCCTCACACTGGGGCATGGAGAATTCTGACAGAGCAGCCAGCAGTTAGAGCGCCATGTGGGGAGAAAGGGGGGCTAGGGCAAGTGGACAGAAGTCGAGGCAGGGAGGCTTCTGGACAGCAGTGCCACGGCACCTCTGCCCAGGCCCAAAGAGGCCCCTTGAAGCCTGAGAGGGAAGAAGGCAGAGGGAGGGAGCTTGGAAGCCAGGGCAGGAACCCAGGCATGGCCCCACGGGGCGGAAAGCAGGCCTCCGGGGCTGAAGAGTGAGGAGCTAATCCGGGCAGCACACAGGAAGAGAGGCTCCGGGGTCTGGGGACCGGGCTAGAAACTTCCCGGAGGCCAGTAAAGAATGACCTCCTCCCCAAGCCTATGGCTTTCAGCTCCCTGAGGGCTCGCTCCTCGTCACCTGTCATCCCTCCCCAACACACAGGAACACGCTGGCCTGGGCTCAGAAACAGACAAGAAAACAGCAGGAGCCTATCTGCGTGTGATGGAAGCCTGTGGAGAAATAAATTGACGGGAGGAGCAAGAGGCCTCGCTGACGGTGCTGACTGCAAGAGGTGACGGGCTCGTGGTTCAGTCTGGGTCTAACCCATCCTTAGCTGGCTGCCAGACTCATTTCCATTTTCCGTTTGTCTGTCACCCAGAACGCACCCACACTCCAGCATGCCCGCCACATAAGGTGCACCTCAACTCCAGGGCCTCCCTGTCTGATGAGGGGCACAACCAGATGGCCCCCCACAGGGTGGCTGTCCAGGCCCCTCACAGCTGAGCCCAGGGCGTGGCCTGCCCTTCCCAGCATCACTTCACTGGCCTCCTTACTGCAGATGTCTCAGGCCCCACACTTGCCTCCCTCTGCCTGTGTCTCTCCAAGCCCCACAGCCTCTACAACCCTCAGATGGCAAGTGCAACCCAGAAGTTAAAGTTGGGCCACAGCTGCGGGTAGCATCCTGGCCCTGCCACTTGCTGGCGGTGTCTCCAGCCTCTGGGCCTCACGGCCCCACGTGAGCCTCGGCCAGCTTAGCGCCGGCTCTGGGCCCACGGGTCTGCCTCCCACATGCTCCCACAGCACCCACGCGCCTCACCACAGTACTCAGCACTTGGCTGCTGTGTTGTTTCCATTGCCTTATGTGCCTTGTTTTCCCAGCTGGACCATCAAGTTCTTGAAGACACCTGCATTATTTGCTTTTCTGGTTGCAGATCCATGTGTTGTAGGAAAAGTAGAAAATCTCTTATGTTCCAAAGAAGAGAGTAAAGCCACCCATAACCCTCCTCGGATAACCACGCAAAAACGTTTTGGCTCATTCCCTTGCATCTCTTGGGCAGAGATGTTTTCTTTTTTGGAAAAATCATGATCATGTTGTATATGGACTTTTGTGTCTTGATTCCTTCACTCAACACTGCAAGGTGAACGTTTCCCCATGTCCAACATTCTTTAAGAAAACTCTAAAGAAAAAACATTTCTTTAATCCCGCCTAACACTCCAGCATGTGGAGCACCGTCACTGACTCAACTGCCGCCTCTGAGAAGGGAGGTCAGGCTCTCGGTCCCCAGACATGGAGACTTGTCCCAGGCTGCCCAGAGCTTCCAACTCCCCTATCACCAACGACCTTCCTTCTGTGATTAAATGCATTTCCTCCCTTCTCCTAAGAAAGCCTGTTTCCTGGGGACAAGGCTTACAGTGAAAAATGGAACCGGCTGTGATGAGTGAGCCAGTGTGGTGGGCTGGCTGGCAGATTCCGGGGCCCTGTCTCCCAAGGGTCTAGTGTCAGCCCCTACTGCCCTGGCCCTGACCCTGCCAAATCAAAGGCCCTTTCTACCAGCAGGCAACAGAGTGTGAGTAAAGTTCAAGGTGCAGTGCTTACCCAGCTTAGTCACCACAGCATAGGAGGAACAGCTCAGAGTGAGAGGATGCTGGACCCAGACAAGACAAGAGCCTCAAGGCCATGACAGAAAGTCTCCAATTTTCTAAAGGGCTTAAGTGTGTTCTCTGTGGCCCAGAAGGTAAAATGAGCAAATGCAAAGAACGAGTGGCTACTACTTTATAAGGTGGTGAATTCCCTGTCGCTGCCAAGTATCACGGCCAAGGTTGTCTGGAAAGGAAGGCACAGATGATGAGACCATCATCATGGCCGCCCACCCCGAGGGGGAGCTGTAGGACCCTGTCACAGAGAAATTCTACAGCGGTGCCTGCTCTGGGAAACACGCTTAGTGTCCAGATGTTCCTCCTACATCGAGAGCCTGGCTGCCTGGAAGCTACTTGTGCACCTTGCAGAAGTCTCCAGGGCACTTCAGAATGAAGAAAAACATGTGCCACCTACCAAACACCAGACTACGTGTAGACATGCCACAGCTAATGTGATAGAAATTATACCATATGCAACGAGAGAATGTTTCTCAATAAAAACGCCCCCTTTCTTGCATTTTCCCCCCTTTTTTCTGGTTGCTAAAACAATCAGCCTTACAGGCCATCTGGCAATTTACATGCAATTGCCCAGGCTGCTCTGCACAGCTTCTTGGGCCACACAAGTTATGTGAAGTAACATGCCCAACTGTGGTGCGATCAGCATTCCTTCCCGTACGCCTGCCAGCGCCCTGCTGGGACCGAGACGGCAGCAATGAGGGATGGCTCGTACCCAGAGCAACCGGATGGGCCTGGGGGGTCCTGGGAACACCGAGCTGCTGGCCTCCCGCCGTGAGTGTCCTTTCCCCCAAAAATAGAGACATGTTCCAGCAGGGGCCCTGCACCCTCTGGCACGGACATTTGGCTCAGGGCCAGGTTTACCAAGATGCCCACCTAGCTACTTTCTGGGTGCGAGCACAGGGAGGGGCAGCGAAGCAGTTCTAAAGGAGTCTTGACGTTCAAGAGTTGGGAACCTTACCCCTTGCAAAAGTAGCAGAAGGAGGGGCGAGAAGTTAAGAGCTCAGCCTCTAAAATACTGAAGCACAGGGAAGGGACCCAAGTCTACAGCCCCTCTCCCTTGCCTGCCTGATGGCTGGTCTGGTGAAGAGGGTATGCTTGGAGAGTGGAGGGTCCCTCCACACTCAGCAACAGGGGCCAACTGCCCCAGCTCACTGGCTGAACAACCACCTCTACTCTGAGTTTGTCGGCCTTCCCCCAGGAACGTGGTAAGTCGGGGTTAGGTTATAAGAGCCATAAATATACTGTTTAATGTAAGAAAGAAAAAATTTTGCTATTTAAAAACCCAAGACTTTTAAAAGCTGAAAACCAATGAGCTGGTTTTGGAAGGTGGCTTACTGCAGACTTTACTGCCTGCCCTGGAGCGGGAGGGTGGCCCAGGTGAGGTGAGCCTGTCCCAGACAGGGTCCCTCCCGGCAGCCCCAGGCTAGCATCCCCTGCAGGTGGCTATTCGTTAGACACCAAGTGCAGCCTCATCAGTGGGACCTACACAGGAGATGGGAGCTCTGGGCTGCCTGACTCCCACCCCTTTACCTCACCCTCTGCTGGAGACGCTTCCAGGAGAGGAATGCTCATGGGTGCCTGAGCCACCTTCTGGACTGACAGAAGAAGCACTGGAGCCTAAGCTTAGGGCCCCAGCCAGGCCTCTATCCCACAGGGAACCTGAGGAAAGACACTGGGTTTTCCTTTTTCTTTAACACTGTGTTTTATAAGACACCACAAAATTATACCTCAGAAAAGCAATCAATCCTTCCAACCACCAGTTCAGCCTCTCCTCTGGGCCGTCCCTGAGGTCATGAGTCCAGGAGGCTACAAAGCCACATGGCCACCCTAGCCACTCGGCCTGGGCTGGGCAGGGACGAGGCCTCCATGCAGGGCAAAGCTCCTTGCTTCTACTACCTGCTGGATGGCCCCATTCTGGGGAATAAAGGAAACTTGTGGTACCCCACAGAGACAGGATAGAAAGTCACCACAGGGGACCCGGCTCTCCTGTCCACCAAAACTCCCAGGGTCTGACCCAGAACGAGATGGTCTTGAGGCCTCAGTGCACAGCATGTGGTCTGAGGTCTGAGAGGCAGACCAGCGAGGGGCAAAGGTCTGCGGTCAGGGACCCTGCCTCGTGGGACGCGGACTTGCATAGAGCTCTCCCTACAGAACCGTTCCTGGGAGCAGAGTGGAGGGGGATGGAGCTTAGAAAGAAGGCACACGGCACAGGGCCGATTTCCTGGACGTCCGAGTCACTTCCTTCGGTGCTTCACTGGGACATGCGGCTACGTACTGTCTCGCACTCCAGCAGGGTCCACAGGAGACCAGATAGGCGCGTCTCGGCAGAGCTGCACCCGCCCCCGAGGAGGCCTGCGGCCACTTACCAGGAAGCGGACATCGTCAAAGCCATTCAGAAGCAACTTGCTCTCATACTGCTGCAGCCCAACGGCCTCCAGCCACTCCCCGACGCTCTGCTCCAGCGTCTGTGAACCTGACGAGAGAGGAATCGGCAGACGCTTGAAAAGGGAAAACCCATTAAGGCGGTAGCAGCGGCACTCAGAGGAAGACAGATGGCACTGCCACATCATGGTCATTACCATAAAGCAGCCAGACTATGTACAAGAGACCAGAGAGAGCAGAGGGCCCGCAGCTCCTCTTCAGGGTGCAGGCCGAGGGCAGGCGGGCCCGGGCCGCGCACACACACACCCACCCCCGCAAGTCTGAGCCGCTCCAGGGCCGCCGTGGCACAGGCACGGTCTCCGCCCACAGGTTGGGGGGACTCCTCGTCAGCGTTCACACTGAGGCATTTCAGGAAGTCTGCTGCCACGGGCACTAGAGGGGCCAGGGGCTCCTCACATCCATGCAACTCCTGGAGGCCCCGCGGGGCTGTGGGCGAGGGACCAGTCCTGTGACCTTGCAGCACAAACCGGTCAGGAGAGAGCACGCGTCTTCATGCAGCTGAGGGGCACAGGCACACAGCAAGAGCTCCGGGGGCGAAGCGGCGGTGGCTGCTCACGGGCATTCAGCACATGCAACACAAGCAGCACAGAACTCGGCAGGGGGACAAAAGGGACTTTTACTTGTTTTCCCCCAGCAGTCCCGGAATAAGCAAACCATGGCCACCAGCCCTTTGTGCTCAGAGGCTCAAGGCAGTGGGACCGAGTGCAGCGCACAGGCTGGGGGCCCTGGGGATCGGGCTCAGGTGTGGCTCTGCTGTGACGGCGACATTGCACTCCTCTGGGCTGCGCGGCCAGCGGGGCCAGGAGCCCAGTCCACAGCTAGACCCTGGCTGCCGGCGAACGGGGTGTCTCCCGCACCAGGGTGCGGTCCGAAGGGCTGCCTTCCCTGGCCGGGCTCTCTTGCCGGGGCTGGGTGTTCATTTTCCTCTTCTGATAGTGGCTGTTCCTGTGACTCGCCTGCCTGCTCAGGTGGAAAGCAGGCAGGCAGATCCAGTTCTTGGCTAAAGACGACAAACCCAACCCGATGAAAGAAAAGGGAAAAGGGAAGTGGTCCTCTGTCAGCTGAGCTGTGGCGGCTTAAGTCTATTCACGTTCGGCGCTGTTCTCTCTCTGGCTGAGCGATAGGGACAGCGACTCTCTTCCCGGGGTCTCCTGATCCTGACGTCCTCCTCCGAGAGCCAGCAGGGCAGGGATGACATGTATCTGCTCTGCTCCTCAGGCTGGACAGGGGGGCGGGGCGGGGAGGAACAGAGTTCAGCCCTCCCTGCAGACCTGAGCGCCTAGCCCCCACCTACTTCTCTGGTTCTCATGGGCAAGACCAGATGATAGAAGAAGGAAAAAAAGAGAAAGGGAAGAAAAAGAAGAACCAACTACAAAGACATCACCTCCAGAGAACTCCTGACACGGTGAAAGTCATTCTCTTGTTCTCGGCACTTTCTGCCCTTCAAGGCAGGCCAAGGCCAAGTGGCTCGGTTATCTGGGAGCCCCTGGTGACCCGCTGTCCAAGGCTCCCCCTCCTCTGTCCTCTGCAGAGCAGCTGGTGGTCAGGGATCTGGTAGCCTCCCGACGCACGCTGCAGCAGCACTGAGATGCCGGGTCCCCTGGCCTTGACTGGGGCCGGCTGCTCCAGAGAAGCTAGGTGGCGGGCTCTTGTATGCCCACGAAGTCAAGTGTCCCTGGCTGCTGATTCATTCCTGCTTGTAATCCCCCAGCCGGGCAGCTGTGGTCCCGCCTGCTGCCGGTGGATGTGTGCTCGCAGAACCGCAGCAGAGTGCTTTGTCTGGAGGCTCCCAGGCTCCACGCTGCCTGCTGCCGGCCCCACAGCCCTCGCTCGCTCTCATAATGTCTGGCCCTCCCCCTCTCCCCTCCCCACCCTCCTCCCTTCCACGCTCAGGAAAATACATCAAGGAGCGGACATCGGAGCAGACGCTGCTGCTGCTGCTGCCGAGGGAGAAGGACACAGCAGCACAAGCATCACAGCAAAATGACAGGCTCCCCGGCATCCCATGTCACACATGCGTCTGAAAGGTGGAGACGGAGAGACTCTACCTGCAGCTCAAGGGGCTGGAAACAGCTTATTAAGGAGAGAAGGCACATTCCTATAGTTTTGGCCAACAGACAAAACTGTCTGTCTCAGACAGCCAGAGAAGGGGACAGAGGAACGTGTCTACCGCCCTTAGGGCATAGCCCACAGGTTAAGTGACCCCCTGCTCACCAAGTAAGAAAGATTGTGCCTCTATGCCAAGAGGATAAGCCATGGGGCGTCACAAAAACAGGTGACCAAATAAAGACGTTATACCTATTATTCCTCAGGTGAGCAGACACATTCAGCAACTTGGGCCTGCTGGAGCCCGGGAGAGAAGCACCAGGCCCAGAGCAGACCCCTCACAATCTAGATGAGGAGGAGATGGGAGGGAAGGCACCAAAGAAAGGGGGGGGGGGGCAGGACCAAACCCCAAGTACAGCCGTGAAGAAAGAAGAGGTCATATGTAGAGACAAAGACCCAGGGACCACATGCACCCTCTAAACATGCTGGGGGTACCAATAGCTCAACAGGCTGTAGATGGTCCTGGCGAAGAAGGGGCTGTGTGTGCAGGGAGATCAGGCACCAGAAGGAGCCTGCACTGAATGGCTACTCAACAGCTAAAGCAGCTGGCTTTAGCAAAAGAAAGCAAGTGATCTCTTCCGCTCCACAGACAGGCCTTTGTGGAAAGCAGCCAGTGGCCGGGGCCAGTGGGAAGGCTTCCCCTCCCTGATTCCTTACAGCAGAATGGGTCGTGAAACCAGTCTGCGGGGGATTTGGGTAACCAGCTCCAGTGCGGGCAGCTCAGGGTCCTAAGGCCCAAGACAAGAGTAAGACTCCAATTCCACCTAGGGTCTCGCCCTATAGAACACGATCCTTTGCGAAACCAGTCACACTGAGCAATCTCATGCTTTAGTTAACAGCTGCCTGCTGGGAGGCCTGCTCCTCCTCCCTGGCTGGCAACCCCAAAGCCCGAGTCTCCCCCAGATCCAGAAACCTATGGACAATCTGAACCCTGCAACTGACCATTCAAAATGAGGAAGAGCTTTGCTCTGGGCTGAGCTGAAGGCTGGTGCTCCCTGGGGTCCTTGGGAAAGCCCTATCCTGACCTGTGAGACAGAAGACAGAGTTCATGGGCAGACCTGGGTCTACCCTCCCCGTGCTTCATGGCCTGGCAGCAGGGCAGACACGGGGGGCTGCGACTCTGTAGCACGGGTGGAGGCATCCTCTGTTTAGGTAACCTTTCTCGTGTGCCCACCCTGGACTGCCCTACACTGCCATATGGAAGAGGGCTCAACGCAGTGGTGCTAAAACAGGGCTGTGTGGTCGGGACCCAGTGACCCAGGGGGGAAGCCAGACCAACTCTCACCACTCACACGGGTCCGTGGGGGTAAGAACTAGTGGGTGGGACCACCAGGGCAAAGAAGGAGATCTGTGTCATCACCTCCAAAGAGAAGGGCTCTTGCAAAAATGTGTTTTCTAGGGGGTGCGGCCACATCTCCTGATTTATCAAAGTCAAGAGGTAACGGCATGTTTCTGACCCAGACTCTCGAGCACGTGCATTCGTTGGACACAGAGGGGTGCAGGCAAGCAGAGAGCTGCTTCAACCGAACTGACTGCTATCGATCCCCTTCCTAGCTCGGTTTAGAGCTCCCCTAAAGCTCGGTTTTGGAAAAGTGTAATGGTGTTTGTCTCAGTACTGAACACCTACTCCTAATGAACACTTGACTCTTGACGGAGCCTGCACACGACAGCACGTGGAGACAGAGCCACAAACGCTGAGCCAGAAGAGCCACCTCTGCAGACTCCACTGCAACCCAAAACTGAGGAGGACGGGCCGCACCCAGCCGGGCCCTCTCTGCTAGAAGCCGGGGAAACAAGGCCACTGGACGGAGGTGGCTCCAGGAACCCACTGGAAGAGTGGTGGAGGGGACAGCAGATGACTCTCCTCCCTAGGTTTTTTGATACGAGAAAGTATTTTATGGACAGAAAAGAGCATATCTACCATTTACCTCTTCTGCTCTAGTATCTGAAAACATTAGTCATTCCCAACAAACCTATGAGGTAGGTACTATTATCCAAATGTAGCTAGGGAAGTGGGGGCCCAGAGAGATTAATGGACTTGCCCAACACCCGTATGCATCCAGAAGCAGAATTTGAACCCAGGGCTGAGGCTCCAGAGCCCATGCGATTTCCATAAGCACCACGGCATCAGCAGCTCCTTTCTCCCCGACGTGCACACTTGTCCCCATCCATCAGACTCTCTCACAGGGCCAGAGGAACCAGAGGTGTCACTTGGGCTAAGAGGCCAGTCCTGCCCACGGCCTCCTGAATGAGCAAGGAAGCCCTTCCCTTCAGTCGGAGAAGCGTTTCCTCAGTGTTTCCTCAGTGACTGGGTAAGGCCAGGCCCCAGCGAGCTGACTCAGCCTGGATGCTCTGGTCGCAGAGAGGGGGTGCAGGTGCTGGGGGATGGGACGTGAGACGTGAGCGAGCTAAGAGGCACCTTGAGAAATGTCACGTCACCTGAGAAAGTAATACAACCTTGATTCTATTATCAAGGCAAATGCCCTCTCAAGCTCCCTGCTACAAACAAAGGAAATCGAGGCAGCCCTCACCCCTAGGGCTTTGAAAAGAAAAGAATGCCCAGGGTAGCAGTTGAGCCAGAGTAAAAATGAGTGGCTAAGTAATGGAAAAATGCAGTAACAGACACAAGGAGGAACCGCAAAGCCCACCCTTCCAGTTGATGCGGGCAAACAGTCTGAGACCACTGATCCAACAATGCTCTGCCACCACCACGGAGCAGCCGGATGAGAGCCACCATCTCACGGGGAGTTAGCGCCAGAGTGGCCTGGGAAGCTGGACAGACTAACGCTGAGGTGTACTACAACTTAAACCAATCAGGGAAAACCTACACTTACAAAAATAATTATGAACAAGTGACAGCTGTTAACTTAAAAAAACCAAAAAACACCAACTTCCTAATAGCTGGCCTAAAATGCAATTTCCCCTCCAATACAATAAAAAGAGTCCTAGCCCTACAATAACAGCTAGATGGGCCATATAGGTACATGTCTGAATTGCAGGAGTATGACGCGGGCACAGGCTGACTTCTCTCACCCACCAAATGTCTGGCCTCTGGGTCAGAGGAAAAGCCTGGGCCAGAAAGGAGCCAAGGGTCTGTATTCCATGGGAAAGTGGCTGCTTGGTACGATACCTGAGATCTTCTGCTGTTCCTGAGAAAAGTCAATCCCTTCTCCAATAGAGCTCATGATTTTCTCAATCTGAAACGGAAAAAAGAGGAACAGAAAGGAGAGGCAGTCAGGCACCAGTTAAACATTACCAGCTCACCATCAGTGCACAGGGCGGGGGCGGGGTGGGGGGGCCCCTCCAGGTCTCTTCCAGATGATTCCAAGGTCCAAGCACCAACCTGCGAGGGATCAGAACTCTTTGCTGCTTGTACCAAGAAAGGCCCTTCTGTGGCCACAGCCCAACAGGGACTAAAGACACACTCCGAAGGGAGGGAGTGGGTAACAACCTGGGCTCAGCTGCTGGAAAAGCCGAAGAGTCTTCCCTCAAAGGCACTTATATGGCCCTCCCGCAGCACTGCCCCCAGCCTAGCAGAGATGGGACAACGGCAGGCCAGACCTGGCACATTTCACTGCTTGCACCAGAATTTAAATTCCAGGAGAGTCGTGACTTTGCCAACTTGCTTCCCTGTGACAACCTGAGTGCCTAGGGCAGTGCCTGGCAAGTCCCAGCACTCGACAGATCATTGGTGCTGCCTGACTGCCAGCTCTGAGATGTGAGGACAATTTTTAGCACTGAGGCAAGCAGAGAACCTAACACAGGAACCTCTCAGAAATCAAAGGGAGGCAGGCCGGTAACTCTGATCAGAGGATCTTTTGCTCTCTGAAGACACAGACATGAGCCCTTCCTCGGGACCGCAGCAGAGAGCGGGCCTCCAAGCATCCCATGTCTCCAGCACTGTCCCCCATACGGACCACCTGTTCTAGCCATCTGGCTTTGGTCACCCCGAGCCAGAGCCAAGCCCCCCACTCCAGGAAACCTGGTCACGGGCAGGACAGGGCAGCAAGGAGGCAGCCACCTTCTCTTCCCCTCCTCCTCCTCTTTTGGGTTGCAGTGATAATGAGCTCATTCGTGGCTCTTTTTCCAAAAAAATTTTGTTAAGAGAACCTTTTGTACCAGGGCTTGGATGCTTTTTCCTCTAAGTGCAAGTAAGGAGCCTGGGTCTGACGATCAAAAAAAAAAAAAACCAAACAAACAAACCACAACAACTCTCCAGCCAGCCTCCAGCTGGCAGATGAAGACAGCACATTTGACAGCCGGCAGAAGAGCCCAGAAGAAGCCCATTCCTTCCCCCTTGCAGCCGAGAGCTATAGCTATTTTCCTCCAGCCTCAGAAAACTGCCTTTTTACATACACGGTGAACTCCATCCCTGAGCTCAGCAAAAGCCAAGGGAAACACAACACGTCTGAGCTGTGGAGCAAACGGAGATGTGCCTCCGCTCAGGGGCCCCAGAGCCCAGAGGCCAGCATGGAAGCAGGCAGTGCCGCCACAGGTCTGCCCTGCCCCTTGAAGAGAATGCCTTCCTCCTTCCCTTCCTAATGCATCACTTCCTTTGGCTCCCATATATTTCAAGAATTGCCTCCTTCAACAGGCAGCTTGGTGCGAGGGAAAGACCCACGCAGACAGGAGAGCATCTTCACCCTTTCCCAGCCTCCATGCTGACTCTCCAAAAAATGGGGATGAGTCTTGCCTCCTATGAAGGGTTTCTGTGTGGATTAAAAGTAGCACTCACACAGAGTGTCTAGCCAAAGGCCTGGCTCACAGAAGATGCATGATAAATGGTTCGTGTGCCCTCCACTTCCCCTGTTTGCCTTAGAGCTCCAACCTAGTAAACACCTAGCTATTTTTAAAGTTGAAAAAAATGTTTTTACTTATATCTTTTAAAAAAAAATTTTTTTTAAATGTTTTTATTTATTTCTAGGAGAGAGAGAGAGACAGTGTGAGCAGGGGAGGGTCAGAGAGAGAGGGAGTCACAGACTGAAACAGGCTCCAGGCTCTGAGCTGGCAGTCAGCACAGAGCCCGATGTGGGGCTCGAACCCACGAACCGTGAGATCATGACCTAAGCGAAAGTCGGACGCTTAACCGACTAAGCCACCCAGGCGCCCCTACTTATAACTTTTTGACAGGACGTACATCCACATGGTTCAAAGTTCAAAAGCTACAAAGGTTATTCAGAGGAAAGTCTCCCTGTCCCTGTCTCCCAGCTGTCTGGCTCTCCTCCCTGCAGGGAACCAGTATAACCAGTTTCTCCAGTGTGCATCTAGATCTGTTCCAGCCACATGTAAGCAAACATACGAAGATATCCCACTTCCCACACTGACACAGGCAGTCTGCATATGCTGCTCTGCATTTTGCTTTCTCAATTTAATAATACATTTTAGAGTTCTTCCCACAGTTCATAAGAACATTCCTTTTAACGGATGAGATAGGTCATCCAGTGTGTGACTAGTTAGTTAACCAGTCCCCTGGTGGTCATGTGTGTAGTTTCCAATCTTTTCTCATTCTCAACAGTGCCACGATGAACACTGTTCTACATACATGTTTGTCTACACGGCTCCTCTTGAGAGTTCTTCCAGGCACAAAATCCTGACTTAGCAGCAGGGACCCCACAGGTTGTATAATCCCAACCCCCCCTGCGTGTCTGAATTTGCTAAAGGCCTTCCAGAGAGGGGGCACTCGCCATCTCTCCCGGTCGTTGGCCCTATCTGCAGAAACTGCCAATTTATAACATCTGTCTTTTTACAGACTGAAATCTCCCCCCCGCCCCCCTCCCAATTTCAACCTACTGGTTTGGTTATATTCCCCTAGAGTGCCTCTTCTTCCACAGGAAAGGCTCAGGGAGGTGTGGAGACAGGCCAAGCAGCTCCCCCACTCCCAGGCTGCAATAAATTACTAAATGTCAGTGCCCAGGTCCCAGAGTCTGGGTTGCCCAGATCACAGGAGCCTCCAAGCTGGGCAAAGAGCAGGCATTCCATAGATATCTGTTGATGTTCTTTCCTTTTTCTTTTCTAGATTTACAGGAGAAAAGTAGGGTGCTCGGGATGAGAAAACTTTTTCCTGCCTGGGGGTGGGGAATGGGGTCCTTACCCTTGGAATGGCTCCACCAGGCTACAGATCTCTCTTCCAGGCCAGAGAGGGTGTATGTGGGAGAAGCGTCACTGTAAAAGCCACAAGAGTTGGCATAAAGCATGTTTTACCTGCCATTTTGCCCCCTGTGGGCCTGGCTTGTGTTAAACGTACTGAATGAATGAAAGCGACAGCGGTGCGGTGGGAGGGGGGTGTTCCATTTACTTAAAGCTAGCAGAGAAAAAGCTGCTTTCCCAGGGCAGACTGTCAAGGGTGGAAAGAGCTGAAATGGAGGACAACCCCAAGACAGCTGTAATGTTAACACAAAATCAAGTCATCTGCAGTACCTATTTCATGATTGTCATAATCCCCTCACACCCAAAGCCCCAGCTGACCGAGCCAATCAGCATCTACTGGCTGCCCAATTCATGGGATTTTGCCAAAGGGCCTTTTGAAATCCGAGTGAACCGAGTTGGACACCCTGCTGCTTCTTTGCTCTGTTCCTTCCTTCCTGTGGGCCCCAGGAGTCACCCTCACACTGACTACAAAGGGCCAGGAACAGTCCTTATTTCCACCGCCCACCCTCCGGCAGGGTATGCGAGGACACTCTCACAACTACTTCGTTGCAACTATGCATGTCGCTGTCCTGTGAACTGTAGCATCTAAGTCAAGCTGAGAAGATTCTAGTTTATAGAGGAACTAGGAGTACTCGGCAGTTTACTGACAGCTTACAACCCAGCACCCCTTCCTGCCTTGGCAGAGACCCAGGGCTGGGACGAACATGGCAGTGAAGAGGTCCTGTTTGGGCAGAGACTGGCAAGTGTCCGCCCTGACGCCATCCATAAGCACAGAGCTGTCTGGGGCTGTGACCCTGCTCAGTGGCTGGGGAAACAGGGAGGAGTCTGGGTCTCTTCTCTTCCTGCCACATGCTCTGTGGCCCAGAACCAGCAGAGGGAGAACATGGTCATTTCAGTCTAGACAAAGAGGAGCTGTCAGGGAAAACAAATACCATTCTCATCTGTATACTTTGTGGACTTTAACCATTTAGCCTTGAGTTTAAAAACAAATCTGATTAGGCTGTTTTCTCAGAAATGTTCTACATCTCAGGGGAGAAAGTAGGCAGGTGGGATGTCATGGAAGGGCACAGTTCAATATTCTCTTTTCTATTGTTTAGGATCAGTGACATTTTGGGGGAAAGAAGGACAGTGGTCATGCTTTAATACTGCACTTCACATAAACTCTATAGGGAGCTTATATTTGGGGTTGGTAAGGCCTGAAAATTATCAACATAATAGATACATATATTTTATTTTATTTTTTTTAATGTTTTATTTATTTCTAGGAGAGAGAAAGAGACAGCGCGAGCAGGGGAGGGTCAGAGAGAGAGGGAGTCACAGACTGAAACAGGCTCCAGGCTCTGAGCTGGCAGTCAGCACAGAGCCCGACGTGGGGCTCGAACCCACGAACCGCGAGATCATGACCTAAGCAAAAGTCGGACGCTTAACCGACTAAGCCACCCAGGCGCCCCTAGATACATATATTTTAAAAATGATTGAAAAGATTCCATTTTCAAAATGTACTCAAGGTTATTCTATTAAATTTTTTTTTTTGATATTTATTCATTTATGAGAGACAAAGTGTGAGCAGGGGAGGGGCAGAGCGAGAGGGAGACACCGAATCCGAAGCGGCTCCAGGCTCCGAGCTGTCAGCACAGAGCCCGATGCGGGGCTCGAACCCACGAACCGTGAGATCATGACCTGAGCTGAAGTCAGACACTTAACTGACTGAGCCACCCAGGAGCCCCTTGAGGTTATTTTATTTAGACTCTCCTCTCCTGCCCCCACCAAGGATATATAAAATATATTCCTCATGTGGCTGAAAACAAACAAACAAACAAACCCCCAAACACTATAGACCCTGCTGCTCACATCTTCTGACACGTGCTTGTTTAGAACACAGGACTGTATGGTGCAGGGTGGCTCAGTCAGTTAAGAGTCTGACTCTTGAGTTCGGCTTAGGTCATGATCTCAAAGTTGTGAGATCAAGCCCCAAGTCCTGCTGGGCATGGAGCTTGCTTCAGATTCTCTCCCTCTCCCTCTGTCCCTCCCCTACTCTCTCTCTCTCAAA